AGAAAAGGTTCGATACGCACTGTCTTATATGTTAAGAGTTTCTCCAGTGAACTACAGGTTACTTATATATTCACTACGAGAAGTACTGTGAAAATTATTCAGAAGTTAAATTTGAATAGTTGTATCACAATAGGCGCCTTTAAATAACAATAAGATTCCGCACGTTTCACTGCAGTTTTCAGAGCATTAGAATTGTAATCAATCAGTTAGATTTGGCTGTGTCAAACCTAAATATTGAGCACATAGTGAAATTATACTACACTGCAGATTGTTCAGTCTAATGCCTGATGAGAAAGCAACCCAGTATCCCCTAGTCAAGCTTTGCCTCAAACATCACGGTTTATTCTGGAGTTACTTTGTATCTGCAATTTAGTTAGTGACAAAAACCTTGTTTTCTAAAATTTTTGATCATATTCATTGAGGTTATTTTGAACATTGAGTGCCAATTTCTATTCATGTTATTCATCACTTTGAAATTACGACAGTTATGGTGATGCAAAAATTTCTATGCTCCAATTACCCAATAGTGAAACAATGTTCAAAAAGATGCCTAATATTGGAGGTTGCAATTAAGCATTCAACATAAAGCAATACGTTTCCACGTACATTCTGTTTACGTAATTTCCTAATACCTTGTTACCTGTTCTTTAAGATGAAATCTTTCTGGTACTACAAAAGGTAGGCACTGCTTGTCATAGAGCTACTTATGCGAACTGCGGCGGTCAGTGGCCTCTAAAAAATACGGTTTTAATGATATTTCATAATGATAGAACTCATTACAACCTGAAACACTTATTTAGCCGATATAAGCAAGTGACTTATATATTTCAATAGGAGAAGCAGCAAGGATACGCACGAAACTCTAGACAGCGGGCAGTAGCTATGGTTATCAAAGAGTCGCAGGCAATTGGATTAAACGCGCGCAAAGCTATCATGCTTAACCAAGAGGAACTTACCAGAAGTTCTTTGACAGAAGTGATGCAAGAACGCGGCATGGCGGTAGAATTTTATTAACGCTCTGCGATTTCCTGTCCAACAGCGTTATTCAGAATCCTGTACGAAATTGTGCTGGTGGACGAAATGCCTGCATCCGAAAGGCTGTCATCCCCAATGATCAGCTGAGTGTCGCTACTCATAAACATTTGGTTGGAGTCATAGGTTGGTACCTGATGTGAATGACCTTTAAATTTTATTTGCCTCATGATGTATATTTTGGATTATGGAATGGCTTGGATTTTGAAGTGTCATAAGAAGCTCGCAAATTGGGAAGAGACTTTCGAAACGTTGACTTGCAGAGCGAAAGCTCTAAGACGGCTGCAGTCAAATATCAAGGTATACCTTTTCTTGAATCTATGGGTATTTAGACAGTGTGCATAAGTTACGTACTCCGTTGCACAGTTAGCACTTCAGCGATTTCCAAATGCTCATCATTTAGGCTGGTTGGGTCGTCGATCACGAGCGCTTGGCTTTATTATGGGAGAATATTAAGATGCAGACGGCTGAACTGCTGCGCTTCACTAATGCCATGCAGTCAAGGATTGCAAATGTCCCTGAACCAGAAGTGTCTATCGGAGGTTCAATTGATTGATTATTATCACTTCAAACTTTTAATGTGAATAAGAATTTCAGAGCCGAATACATGTGAGCACCCACTGTCGCGACTTCATTCACAAAGTCCTGAACTGGAAAATCTGCAAAAGAACGTTGCCGAAGCAAACGTCGTGTGTCGAGAAATGCACGCGATTGCTACGCAAATGTATGC